ACTCTTTCACAGAGCAGGTTGTCCATAGCTGACGCCCTTCTGTTGGGTTTTGCCGTGGTGCTGAGGTTGAGGACAGGATGGGGAGGCTGAGCGCGGGGAGCGCGTGAGGGGTGTGCGTTAGTTAGCCTGTCCGCGAGGCCTCTTGGCTTGTGGAACCTTAGAGAGGGGGTAAAAAAATGGGTCTGAAAACCAAGTGGCACCGGAGATAAACGTCACCAGACTCTTGCACGCAAGTAGTTGATCTCCATTGCTCATCAGGAGTACTTCCAACGAGGGAAGTAATTTTATATGCTGAAAATACTTCCCAGTTTGTCAACAGTGCGGCTTTTTTATAGAAAAGAGCGATATCTGAAGCGACTGGCGCACAGAGGCTGGGAATTCTGCCTTTTTTCTCCATAATACTGACTTGCTGCAGGTTTTCTGCTGTTTGATCAGGAAACATCAGCTGGTTTGCTACAAACGCTGAGCACTCCTGCAGCTTTTGCCTGGACATTTGCTGTATGAAGGTGGCATAGTGCCTCCTTCTCACCTTTACTGCTCTTCCAGGTCTCTCTCTTACTACACCAAAGTTTTAAAAAAATCAGCTAACAGCCCACATGTGCCTCTTTATGGTTGGTGGCATGGGTGGCAGGCACTGTTCACCCCTCTCAGTACTTTTCGCCTGTTTGCCTATGGTTAGGTTTGAGCTGAGCTCAGAGGCACCGTCAGGACTAAGGTGGCCTACTTAGTCTTGATTTATGGATGTAGCTTTTCTGGTAAGTAAATACGCTGTACGTACCTGACCTTTGTCCTGCAGACCTTTCTTGTTGCTGTTTAAGCTCAGGTCTCACTGACTCTGAAGCACGTTCTAGTGCTTTTTGGTTTATTTACTGTCTGCCTGAGGACAGCAGCTGTAAATTTATCTGTAGGAGAGTGTTAATAGCAGCCTACTCATAATTTTCCCAAAGCAGCCTACAGAAAGCTCATGTTGAGAGGCTGAAGCCTGGTAGGCAGGCGTTATTGGCTCCGTGTGTGAGACCAACATGTTTCAAGGATGGATGCGTGCTCGCCCCGGGACAGCTCAGTGAAACGGGTGCGAGCAGGGTGCTCTGAGTACATAAACCTAATGGAGCTGCCCTTTACTGCACGGTTCTGCAGCGCATTACACATTAACTTGCAGTGAAAAATGTGGCAAAACCAGTTTTACAAGAGCGGTTAAAAAAGGTGCCTCATAAGTTAGTCAACATCCCAGCGTACTTTCATGTTGCAGAGACAGTTTGAATTTGGCTTTTATAGCACATCATCTGCTGAAACGCCGTGAACTTCTGTGGCCTGGCCATAAACCGTGGTGAGACCAACGCGTGGTACTCTGTCGTACAGAGCTGTATTTCGTTATAGGTCTGATGAGCAATTGAGTGCTCATAAAAAGTCAATTATAAAAGTAAAGTGATGTCAGTTGGTGGCAATTCTTCTAGCAGATTATACAAAACGATAGGGCTGTCATGCTTCACTTGAAGCAAAAATGCCTTAGAGGTGTGTTTGAAGGCACTCCCAGAAGTTCAAACAAGAGGACAAACAACTTCCTTTCCCAAGGGGCGAGAACTGTCCAAATACGACTGCGGTGAAGATGAATGGTGAACGCTAGGAGTGAATTTGACCCAGAGATGCTATCGTCTTCTGGAAATTCAAAACTTGGGATGTTTGATAATTTTGTTGTTACAATTATTTTTTTAAATTTGGAAATGAAAAATTGCATTGCACAGAACTCAATCATTCAGCTAGCGTGTTTTAGATATTTTGTCTACAAAATGCCATAAAACTAAATACCATGATGTGTTTACCTATAAATAATTCACAACGCAATCACATATTTTAAATAACCTATTTATTTGTAATGGTCTGATTATTTTATATTAAAAAATTATGAACTTCATCTGCCTTTTTTTCTTTATATTTGTATCGAATTGAGATTTAAAATTATTTAAAATTAAAGGTGAATAATAACCTAAGAAGTAGGGTTACAGACATTGTCTGTGTCAGATATCACAGCATCCATCTGAGCTAGACTAATCCAAAGCACCTCATTTGAAGGTCAGGTTCCAGCTTTAACTTGCCTATTAAACACTCTGGGGAGGACTAGGGAGAGCGCGGGTGTTTGAGCAGACAGCAGCACGTGAGGAATGGGAGACAACGCTGGCAAATTGTGGGAGAGGTTTGGGTAAGATGGTCGTTATTCTTCTTCTTTCAGTTCAGTATTCTTCTTCTTTTCAGTTCCCTGCAGAACTGGCAGGGAAGACGCCCTGACCTGCGTCGCAGTTTTGAAATGCTTCAGGGATGCTGAGTCTCCCCAGCCGCTCGGGTGTGACGTGGGAGTCGCTGAACGACGACGGCTCCCGTTGCTCGCCTTTATCCCCCGCAGTGGGCACATGGATGAATTTCATCGTGTCCGTTGGCATGCCACCCCTTCTGTAACGCCGCTCCGTTTCTTCGGTGCTGGGTGCTTCGCGGGGGAAAAGGGCTTGCCTTTAAGCACAACCTAGCCAGAGCTTTATCAGAGGTTCTTCCATCGTTTTCGCTGCTGCCACGCAGTACTCTCCAGTGCGTGAGTCATATTAAGTACCAAATAATATTATTGTCACAGGATTTAGTGTAGCTCTGGCCAAAAGAAGAAAAAAAAAGGCCTATAAGGTGACTAAGCTTGGTGACTTCTTTCCAGATAGATTTTTCTTCTTAACAGTGAAAACAAAGCCCGGAGAGTCCTGAGCCAGTCTCTTGAGGTATCTTCCTCAAATGAGTCAAAGCTGGGCCGAGTCCAAAGAGCTACTTCAATACGTAGGGTGCTGGTCCTGTGGTTTAAGGAGAGACCGCTGTAAAAGGCTGAGGTTTTCTGCATCAGCCACGTTATTGACATGCTGAATGCTAGACTTTGAGTAAATATAGTGGTGTAAAATCTCTGATTATCCCATCTCCGTTATATCTGTGAGGGTCTCTGTTAACTCTGCAAAAGTAGGACGTCCTTCAGGTTTCTGAAAAGGAAAGCGAAGCATAAATTTATGTGAGCAGATTGGTCAATTGTAGTACCAGACTTCAGAAGATGGTTACAAGTAGATATGAGCTACCACTTCAAAATTACATTTCACTTTATTTGTACAGAAGAAAAGATCAAGTGTATCATTTGAGGGAAAACCGTTCATCTGTTCTTCATGACACCAGCAGTGTGCGTGCAGCCACTTTTCCAAGCATTCTTAAAATTTCGTTATTTCAGTTCTGGACCGGAATTCCTACAGGATTTGTCCCCTGCAATGGGTCACTGGAAAGCGCTACCTCTGAGGAAACCAGGACACTCGGGAATGTTTCCTGGGCTGTTGAAAAGGATCTTGGCTGTTGTGTCATTTGGTGTATTGGAGCTCGGTGTGGAACAAACTCCTGGGTGATGGCAGACAGGAGTAGAGAGAACTCCTCCCTGTCCTCTCTCTGCTGGCTCCATCTGGGTGGATGTGTGCAGAAAGCGAGCTAGATGCAGTTTAGGTCTCAGTCTCTTAAGCCTTTTTTTTTTTACTCAGAGTCTGAAAATACCATGTAGAGTTAAAAGATGGGCAAGCAAGGAGAGGTAGGATAAAGGAGAGAAGAGTAGCAACAAGATTGCCCAACTACTCTCAGTGTATACCTGCCTATTTACATGAAAGCATTGCGGATAAAGGTCTTCTGAAAGTCCCTTTTATCCAAAATTAAAGATTCATTTCCTGTAGACACTAGAGAAGGACCTTAAGTGATTACTCAGATGAAGCAGCTGATGAAATCGGTGTTTTTGTACCAATATAGAAAGAAATAGTTGCTGGAGAAATGGGGAAAGAGCATGAAGTACTAAATCGGAGTGGAGAGGGTGAAAGGGGTGCAGCCTAGGAGCTGTGGTGATGTACAGAGGCACTGATGTACAGCTAAAAATGGGATTTAAAATCCGCATTGTGGGCATCCCCACGTAGTATATGAACGTGTTAAGGTTATCCTTCCGAGCAGAGCTAGAGAAAGCCATGCACGAAGGAGGGCTGAAGAAGGTATTACACTTGATGCAGCGGAGAAGTGAGACAGCAGCCGCATGTTCCAAACCAGGGATGGGCTAGAAGACCTGTTCTATTGCTGAAGTGCTTTCTTTTTATTGGAGGCAACAGTCAAAAGAAGCAGAGGCTTGTAAACATAGATATGATTTGTAAAAAGCGTAGTGATAGATACTGAGGATGCCACAGATGTGAAATAAGGACTTAATACCTCGGTTTTTGGAGAATCCCTGTATATCCACATTACAAAGGAATAATACTGTATAGTAATGTCACAAGAAAAAAAGGGCAACGAACCTCATGCCAGCAGCTGTACATGACTTCGTACACAGTATGTGATGCCAAACGTGGTCGGTGGAGTCGGTTGCCCTGAGAAATCTCGCGGACGACTTCAGAATTTGACTTGCTCTCAAAAGGCATTTTGCCTTCTGTGAAAACTTCCCACATCAGCACACCTAGAAGTGAACCGGAATATTTAGGACAAAACAAACACCCCGAACCCACAAGCTGTTTAACAACATTCGAAGAACAAAAAACAACCTTGTTTTTTTGTGTATTGAGTAAAGCATGAAAATACGGATAGCCTTAGCTGAAAAAAGACAACCAAAAACATTTTTAACTGAGACAATTCCGCTCTCTTTTAGGTCAGCTAAGGTGGTGGTCCGTGAAACTGAGATGGAGAGAGTCCGGCGGAGGGCTACAAGGATGATGAGGGGACTGGAGCATCTCTCCTACGAGGAGAGGCTGAGGGAGCTGGGCTTGTTCAGCCTGGAGAAGAGAAGGCTGAGAGGGGACCTTAGAAATGCCTCTAAATGTCTGCAGGGTGGGTGTCAGGAGGACGGGACCAGACTCTTTCCAGTGGTGCCCAGCGACAGGACAAGGGGCAACGGGCACAAACTGAAGCAGAGGAAGTTCCAGCTGAACATGAGGAAGAACTTCTTCCCTCTGAGGGTGACGGAGCCCTGGCCCAGGCTGCCGAGAGAGGCTGTGGAGTCTCCTTCTTTGGAGATATTCAAGACCTGCCTGGACAAGGTCCTCTACAGCCTACTGAAGGTGACCCTGCTTGGGCAGGAGGGTTGGACTGGGTGACCCACAGAGGTCCCTTCCAACCCCTACCATTCTGTGATTCTGTGATTCTGTAATATACATGTGGCTAAAGGGGTCTTACCAAGAATGCACATTTCAGTCAAATTTTTAGGCACAGAACCTTTCTATTAAAAAACATACTTGTCCCATATAGGCAAGATGTGAAAAATGGGAAGAACTCAGGCCTAAGATAGGTAGCGTCCGTAGGGTTACGCTTGCCTAAATCACATCAGTGGTTTTAGCGAAGCACAGCGCGTTGCACATTAACCCAATGAACTCACCAAATGACCAGACATCTGATTTGCTGCTGTATTTTTTGAAATGGAAGACTTCAGGAGATGACCATTTGATTGGAAACTTGGCACCTGAAGAGCTGATATACTCATCGCCAATGACGTATCTAAAGAAGAACAGGAAACAGTGTATATTCTAATGTTAGGTAAAGGGCAAGCAGTACTGGCAACATTTCCACAGATGGTTTGTAATTCCATAAAAATACAGTGTCGATTTAGAAACAAGGAAATGGTATCACTAGTTTCATATAAAATGCACACACTGGAAGCTATGCACTGAGAGAGATTTCTGTTTAAAAGAATTATTTGAGTTGACCATGAGAAGTATGTTGGAATAAAACATTTTTAAGACTCTCTGTAGGACTGACAGGATGGTTGCTATTGTCATCTTCTGGGTGTGTATATCGGTAGGGAAGATCCCTACGCCATGGGCAGGAAAACCAGCAGCAATAAATAATTGTTGTCTCTTTTGAAAAGAGTCCACCTTTCCAACTGCTTGTACCCAAACACTACTGGAAGAGGGCTACACTTTGTACCTGGTGGGCGGGATCCACTGCCCAGCCTCACAAATATAATTTCTGGCATGTTCTTACAGAATCAACACAGAAAGAAGTGTTCATCATATACAAGACAACAGCTCTGCATGTGCACTGGAAAAGTAGTTTTCTTTGCCCAAGCTTAGAGGAGTTGGCCTCCCAGTTAAGATGAATTTACGTGCCAGATGCAGGCATTTGTAGGGCAACATTTTAAAAGGCTATGAGGCTGATCCCTAACTGCCTACAAGCTCTGTGCACGTCTTCCCAGTATGAGCGTTCCTGAGCGGACAACAGACGTGCAGTATGCAGCATCTGTTCCCACAAAAAGCATAACGCAAAGGCACCTTTTCAAGCACCTTGTAAAGGAGGCCCCATTACGAGAAATCGTCTCGTTGTCTCCCTTTTTTCGGTGCAGGCACGGAAAGGTGAGAGGTTGTTGGGTAAGGAGTGTATGAAATAACAGTACAAAATAACCAGTAGAGGTAGTTGTGTGAGGTCTGCATAGTGAGACTGTGATCCTGTCACCTCTCCATGGTCTCCCGAGGAGAGTGAGTGCTTGTCCTAGAGCCACACCACTGGGTCTCCATGTTTTGGCAGCGCTGAGCCATTCAGGTCCATCATTCTCAGCCTGGATGCTGAGAGCGCTTTGGTCTCTCACTGGTCTTTCTGGTACCTTTGGATGAGTCCAAGCTCACCTGCCCCCAGAGTGAGCCAACTCAGTCTACTCATCCAGCAGAAGAACCAGCCAGGAAAACACAGTGCTTTGTGCCGGGCTTGCGAGGGGAAGGAGGGAAGGAGCGAGCCAACCCCTGGGGCAGCAGTCGGTCCTTCGGCCAGCCCTGCTGTGGAATCCTGCACGTCTCTGGGGGAAGGCTGCGAGGGCAGAGCCACGCTTCTCCATAAACGCACCACGTGTCAGCGGGCGTTTTGCTTTCTTTTCGTTAGGCTGGTCCTCTCACCAAGCAGAAAAACCACTTCCCTGCTAGAGCAGGGCTCAGTGCCCTTCCTACCCGTCCTCCCCACCTCCTGCCTGCCCGACACAGCCACTGCCACCTCTGTCCCCGGGGACTTTATGACCTCCCCGCTGCTCAGAAATGGGGGGAACTTCTTTCTTCAAGCTTCCGCAGCCCTGTGCTCGCTGGGCGTTCCTCTGCCCGCGAGCTACCTCTGAAGTTCACCAGGCGCTTTGTTTACCTGTCTTACCCTCACCCATAACCAAGAGGAGGACACGGCATCCATTTCGTGGCACAACAGCTAAACAACATTATGATTTTCGTCAGAATTCAAAAACTGGCCGCGGTGGGATTCCCCAAATCAGCGAGGCAAGCAATGGGGTCAACTCTGGTCACGCCGCAGCTGACGGAGAGCAGGGACTCACTAAACCCGCGCCAGTGGCCTCGTACCTCGCCATGCCGAAGTCGGACACTTTCACGATGCGCTCAGCGCTGACTAAACAGTTTCTTGCAGCCTGGGGAAAATGAGAGAAACATCTAAAATCTGTGCTAAAGCATTTTAAGAAAAATACAATGGCTGATTATTTTTGTTACAGCTCATACTGTTTATATTCTAACAGGAGATGAGTGTCTTGCTCAAAAATAAGTGAGTTTCTGTCTCTGAGTCAGTGAACACGTTTTGCTACTGTGTAGTTACACATACATAGCATAAATCAGCTTAAATGCATGTAGTAGGAGTTGTGATATTTTTACATATTCCTGCAGAGTAAAAGAAATGTTCGGCTGCAGAGACTAGTTATCGAAGCAGGGATTTCCCTGAACACTAGCGTTAGGATGCTCACTGTGACTTTTTAAAAATGTTTTGTGATTTTTTTTTTCATGGCAGAAGTCAGGAACTCCTTGGAAATTGTCAAGATTTTACATTTCTTCAGGCAGCTAGGGAGGAGAGCAGGAAGATTTCCTCTCTGCATCCAGATGTGAGCATTGAACAAAATGCGGAGCAAGGAAACAAGCTCCGCTCCTGTGCTTCCCGGTGTGTGAGAGGTAGGGCAGAAAAGCCACTCAGATACGCCAGCATCAAGATATGGCAGTGGGGAGCAGAAAAAAATGCAGATAGCAAAAGATTTTGTTTAAAAAAAAGCCCCAAAAGCCTCATTGTTGCTGACCTTTTGTATTGCTGTGATTATGGTTGTGTTGTGATATCACTGCTTGAGACTCTTGTATTGAGATGTCCTAACGCCGGCCTGCCCCATGCTAACATCCCAGTTTTCTCTGACTTCTCTCAACCACCAGGTAGTTTTTCCAGCTGTCCACAGACAAAACAACAGCTGAGAAGTTTTGGTTTACAGGCAGGAAAACACTGTTGACTTGCTGGATCCTGCAGGGCTGAAGTCTTACAGGACACCTTAGTGTCCCATAAAATGCAGCGGCGTGTTCTATACTGCCAGCATTTACCAAGAACTTTAGAAAACCTATTGTACTTACTAAATCACGGTGAATAAAGCTATTTCTTTCGAGGTGTTCCATCCCTTCGCACACATCCTGGCACATGCTCAGCAGCACGTCTCTGCTGAGTTTCCCTCGCCGTTGCCGAAGGTAGTTGAGCAGGCAGCCGTTCTCCATGAATTCGGTCACAACGTAGAGAGGCTTCTGACACGTGCACACTCCGTAAAGCTGGACCAGCTTCGGGTGGGAGAGTTTCCTGTTCAAAATCGCATTTGAGACAGGCAATGAGTTGTCCTTGGCAGGTAACTGGACCTTTGAGCCTCGTGATGGCTTTGAAAAATACTTTCAGTAATTGATAACGTTATTCAATTGAACTGGCCTCAGAGTTACCCCACTATCTAACACATTTCTGCCTACAATTTCCTCCAGAAAGTTCACTCCTGGAATTCATAACAGTTCATCAGTTATAGAAATGCAATGAATGCGAAACCTGATTTGGATGATGTGAAATGGAAAGGTCTCGTTATGCCTGGCTTTCGGGCAGGGGTGATGACCCTGCAAGGGTTCTTCTCTGTTGGTCTGTGCCAACACCTGGTCTGAATACTTTCCGAATTCGCAAAATTAGCAGAAATGGTAAGACCGTTTCTCAGAATCTTTAGTGGGCTATGAGCTCTGCCAGTGGTCTGAGAAGCAATGATTAATGGATGAAAGAATAGTTAGAATCATAGAAAGTTTTGGGTTGGAAGGGACCCCTAGAGGTCATCTAGTCCAACACCCCTGCAAACAAGCAGGGACACCGCTAACCAGATCAGGTTGCTCAGAGCCCTGTCCAACTTGGTCTTGAATGTTTCCAGGGATAGTTGTAGGAGCACGTTTGTTTATCAGCACATTTACTCCCTACAGCGCAAGGCAGTGCACCTTCTAAAGAAAGATTCTGCTGATGGGTGCCACTGCTGCAGTCTGGTTCAGATTTTCATATCTTCTGTCCTGCACATCCACCATTCCCATCAAACTGGCTTTGTCTGTTTATCTCAAATGCAATTAAGACCAATTCATTTCTTGGTCATCTCAATGGCAATTATCAGATATAACAGCTTTTGTACTTACATCATCACCTTGGCCTCCTCGATGAAATCATCTTCTGACATTGCACCTTCGTTGATTGTTTTGATGGCGACCTTGATGGTTGCTTTCCATTTACCGAGCTGAACGACGCCAAACTGCCCGCGCCCAAGTTCTTTCATGAACGTCAGTTCAGATGGGTTTAATTGCCACTCCTCTATAAAAACCACCCAACATGTTACAACAGTCAGGTCAGCTTTCCTGAACCGTGCTCCAGGACACGTGTCTTGCTATTTGCAGTTAATGCACGCAGCGTAACATCACGGCTGTTCATCAGCTATAACATGGGTTTAAAATATCTGAAAATTTCCACGTGCTCCTATATGTTTATATGTAAATATTATTTTATGGCTTTTTTGATGTGATGAGTTTTTAAATTGCTTAATGTAGGTGTGTCTGAGGCTTGAAGATAAGGCAAGGTTTTAATTTTGATTAGATATGAGATCTTTTTTTGGCAGTATGATATGTGATGTGTTTAACTCTGGACAAGTTCCGGGTGAATAGCATAGCTACAGAAATAGTTACTGGCTGTAACAACCAGAATATTCCAGCCTTTCAGAAATACTGAGCCTGGAGATTCATGGCCACATACACAGAGAAGACACAGGACTTTGGAGGTTCCAATCAGCCAGATAATATTAACTTCCTCATCGATATACCAAAACTGGAATTTGTTGCTTGTTTTCTAATATGGTATTATTACCATTCTTATTTCTAAAACTTGCAGAGCTGACAAAGAATATCTTCCCCATAACTAACATTCATTTCAATTTCCTAAGCATTTCAATACATCAAATAGCCTTTGAAAAGCTATTAAATATATATTTGAGTCTTGGGCCCACTTACGAAAGCCCAGCTAGCTCTGAAACACACTGGTGGTGGTAACAGAAACACAACAGCCGCTGAACAGAAGGACTCGGGTCAGGTGTCTCATTTGGTTCTGACGCCTCACGAGGAAATGAGTGTCTGTTTCTGGTGAAAATGCGTCAGTTTGTGTGTTTCTCATTACCGGGAACTTTCACAGGTACAACTTCCTTACTAACTGGGCGAATGTGATCAAAATGCTTGCCTAGACAGATACCTAAATCTCCACCGAAACAAGATAAAAAAATTTACCGTGACTAAACCCTGCTGCTGCTGGTGGAGAGTATCCGGTTGATCCAACGGGATGTCGGAGACGAGTGATAAGACCTGTAGAGGACAAAGCAACAATATTCTGTTGACCAATTACCCCATTTTAAAGTATGCTATATCATACCTCTTCTTAAAAAAAAATATTTAGAATCTGATTTACAATTCTTATTTCTTGAAGTTACTTTTTAGTACAGCTTGTTTGGATCAAACACTACAGTGAAGAGAGATGGAGGAAGGCTATTCAATAGCGGCCCAGCTACAGAAGTAGCTATGTTTTCATACAACCCAAAGTGACACTGCTGCTTGTTTGTGTGATGTTAGTGATCTGAAATAATACTACATGAGTGCTGCAATACTACATCACCCGCTCGAGAGGTCTCTTCCAACATGATTTCTCAGGGTTGTTTCCTATTACAAGAGATGTAGTGTGTCTGTCATTCATTTTCATTGACTTCATGAGCGAACAGCACCAGTGAGCACCTCCCTCACCAAGGACTCCCTGCATTCATTCTTTCATTTTTCCCGCTGTTATATGCCAGTCCCTTCCTACTTTGTGGATTTCCTACAATCCCCCCCTCTCAGGCAAAAGGCTCTGTCCATCCCTGCATCTTCCTTCCTTCCTCAGTAGCGCGAGGGATCTCTGTGTGCTTTCCCATCGCCATTCATTCAGGTAAAACCATTTTATATTGTATTAAAATGATGAGTAGAACCAAGATGAAAAGCACGTTCTACTGCTAAAAATTATAAAAGGCTGCTGTCAGCCAACGGTTAGAGGTGGCTGACTCTGGTAGGCTGCAAATCGATGTTAGAGAGTCCTTGTGCTCCCTGATTCTGCCTTTGATTGTTTGTGGGGCGGGGGTTTTTTTGCCAAAGTCAGTGAAATGCTGCCTGCTGACGCATAGCATGGCTCCTGTTTTTCTTAGATTGCATGCATGCAAGTCGCTGCATTGTGGACAAGGAAAGAACTATGATCAAATCTCATATAAGTCACATCATGGAGTCAAATATGAACCATGAAAATAGAGAGAAGGTAAATACATTAGGCTCCTAGCTTTGTAAAATCCATTTAATTCACATAAATGAGTTTGGGACTTTCACTTCCCCCACGGTATATGCACACTGCAGCTGCGACTTTGGCAGAAGGGGCCATGGCAGGTTTGAATTCGTTAAGTATAGAAAAGCTTGTTTCTATTTTTATAAGGAAAATATCAGACGAAGAGTGATTTCCAACCTCTCAAAGTCCTGAGGAGCTTCAAATCATCAGTTATAAAGCCGTGTCAGCTTACACGCGTTACCTGCAGCGTTGTGTCGATGATACTCGATGAGTTCAGGAACAGATGAAAAGAGATATTTTTCTGCTACGTAATATTGTCCCAAGTGGTTTCTCTTAATTTGATAATGTCGAATGTCTCCATTATGGCTTCTGAAACCAACAAAGGATTATAATTTTCAATAAAAATAATTTATGCTATAAATCTGATTAAATTTTACTTGAAAAAGGTGCACAGAAAAATCTGAAACTTGAGATACAATTCTCTGCTTAAAATGGCTGTGTGTAGGTGGGATGCTGTTTCAGGTGGGAAAAAAAAAGACTCCTGGAGTGGATCTCTCTCCCAGCTTTGGGACATATTGCACAATGGTTTTTACTGTAGAAGTATTTAGCCTCGTATCATTGCATCCGTAAGACATAGCTGTAGCACTTAACAGCTGCTCCTCCCAATTTGGCATTTCTTTGAATCTAAGCTTTCAAAATTAAAATGCTCTTCATACCCAAAAATTTAAAAACATATTAATGTATGCTGTGAGATTAAATTTTCTGTTCTGCTTCTCCAAAGTCTCTTCATTGGTGCTTTTATTTGAGAAGTTTCCTTTTCTGTATTTCTCCACACTATCTGTCTGTCTTGGTTTCGAGGCAGCTCAAGGGGGATGAAGTCAATGCTGAAGGTGATTGCTAATGAGGGAGGAAGCAAATCCTGCTGCAGTCCCCGGGCAAAAGCAGTCAGACTGCTCAATGAGGAGATCAGATGATTTTAGGAGAAAACAGGGATGTTTTGGGACAGCAGAGCTGCAGAGAAGGGAAGCCGTCTGGTGTGGTGGCCGAAGGCTGGGGTGGGGTGGCAGCCACGGCGCTTGACATGGCTAGAGAGGCAAGTAGCTGCTTGTTGTTTGTGTTACGCAGGTGGGATGCACAGCCTTTGGAGCAGATTATTTGAGGACCTCAACGAGTGCAGTTGATCTTGTCCTGGCAGGGCATCTGCACCCCGACTCCCAGATCCACTGCCCACCGTCCTCCTTTCTGCATGCAGGGAACGGAGGTTGCACACGAACAGCACCTCGGTGGTTCACAGCTCCTGTCCAACCCACCCACTGAACCCGAGGAGTTTGGGGGAAGCTCCTCCTTCACCTCTTGTTGCCAACCCAACCACTCCGAGCAACTCACCCTTTAGCCAGCGAATACACGGACAGCGTAAGGAGTCCCTGCTGACTCGAATCTCTGACAACAAATGCACCTTCTTTGGACTGAAAAGAAATCCAAGTAGAGTTATTTTCTGCTTCTGAGCTTGAATAATCCTCCCTTGAGATAGGACTTGCAGCTGATTACCGACTTCTGTGAAATGCCCATGATTGCTTGGGAGGGAGATAAAGCAGTGGAGAGCAGGAATTCGTAGCTAGATACATAGCAGAGCAAAATTAACCAAGGGAAAACACAAAGTGCCAGACAATTTCTTGGAGTTAAATAATTTAGCTGAATTATATTCTTCAGTGTGAAGTAGTGAAAACGCTTTGATTTCTTAAAAAAATCAAATTTTACAAATCACTAGGAAAAAAAATACTGTAAAACAGTTTTGTCACCTGAGATGTTCTCTGGTCAACCTTGCCCAAGCCCAGTGTCAGTCCTTGAGCAAAGACCTAGTGAGTTTAGCTGAGTCAGGCACTTTGGTAACTGGTGGGGGGTAGAACGCAGTATGGATTGTTTGTTCTATACATAAGGAGGGCACAGGGGTTTTGCTGAGCTCTGCCACCTCGCTGACTTACTCACTTCACGGATTGAAACACGGATCTTTGGTGTTTTCATATGAAAGACAAGCACAATAAGCCACGTGCAATTCAGCTTATCTGGTGTGGAAAATCTGCATAGGATTTGCTGGGGCTACACCTTAAAACTCTGAAGTCTGGATAGTCTGCACTGTACACTTACTCCAGAAAGCTTTATTTTATTTTTACTACTTTATTTTAAAGTAGTCTCTCCTACTGCATACCAAACAGATTTGGATTTGACTGTGGTAACGCTTGTGATGCCTCTACTGACAGATTTTGCTAGATATCGTTAGCTCTTTGTAGAAGCAGAGTTACCTTCTGGCGCAAAAGAAGTTCTGCCTGGCTTCTGTTTATGTTTTTGCAGTACCACCTGCAACAAGGAGATAACCTATACTTTAATTTCAGTCAGTTAAAAATTAATGTTTGCTCTGTTTCAAAAACTAATCCATCTTAATAGTTGCACTATTCCCAGTCCAAAAAACTGAATGAAACTATTGTTGTATAAAAGCATCTCTTAATTTGGAATGACTTTGTTAGACCATTGTAATTCACAGAATCACAAACTGGTCGGGGTTGGAAGGGACCTCTGTGGGTCACCCAGCCCAACCCCCTGCCCAAGCAGGGTCACCCAGAGCAGGCTGCACAGCACCG